AAGTCGAAAGAATTGAATTACAAGTTCGTGTGGGTTCGTAACGGCCGAATTTACGTGCGTAAAGACGAGTCCTGCAAAGCAATACTGATTCGAGATATGGATAGCTTACATCTTATCACATAAATTGTCTACAGTTACATTTAATGTTTTGGTGCATTTCTGATCAATTCGATAGTATTAATATTTACTACCAAAATGTTCGCGGAATGCGAACTAAAACCAACGAGATAAGAAAAAATATTTCGCTATCGAACTACGAAATAATTATATTTACAGAAACATGGCTAAATTCTAGCATCTCCAATAATGAATTAGTTGATATGAGATATAATATCTATCGACGAGACCGTTGCGAGACCAACAGCTCAAAAAAAGATGGAGGTGGCGTGCTCATTGCTGTTTCCAAGCAAATTTCATCAGTCCGAATGAAGAACTGGGAATGTGACTGCGAGGACTTATGGGTTTGTCTGAATTTGATTGTAGGCAGCAAGATGAAAAAGGTAGCTATATCAGCGGTCTACCTTCCCCCTCCTGCACAACATAGTGTTCTTAATAATTATCTTCATAGTGCGAACGATGTACTAAGTTCTGTAGAAGACATTATAGTTGTTGGCGATTTTAACTTAAACTTTTTAAAGTGGCGAAAGCACATTGATTTCTCATACATGATTCCCGACAATTATAACAACTCTCTTGGATACTGTTTTGTAGATTTTATGTCTGTAAATGAACTGTACCAATTTAATAATATTTCCAATGTAGATGATAGAATGTTAGACTTAATTATAAGCAATAATGCTAATCTAGAGGTTACTACACCTCTAGATGTTTTAACTAAGATAGATCCCAAGCACCCTAATTTGTTAATAAAAGTCGATTTTCCTCCTCTTAGCAAACCTCTACAACCGAGAAATATCAACATTTTCAATTTCTTTAAAGCTAACTATAATGACATTATTGCTGATTTGACGGAAGTCGACTGGATGGAGTTGTTTTCTAAATGTAGCGATGTGAATGCGATGGTTTCCGTATTTTATAATGTAATACGCAAAATAATTGATACACGAGTGCCCAAACGATTAAAAAATTTTAAGTCTAAGTTTCCTTCGTGGTTTAGCAATGCTTTGATCAATCGTCTAGCCGAAAAAGAAAAACTAAGAATAAAGTTTCGCAAGTACGGAAACCCTCGTGATCTCATCGAATACAAAATCCTTCGTAGTTACTGTCACAAACTGTACGATGAATGTTATGCTCGTTACATAAAAACCGTGGAAACTAATTTAATTAAAAATACTAAGGTGTTTTGGTCATTCATTAAAAATAAAAGGAAAAACGAATCCAACTACCCTCCTGAGATGTGTGGAGCAAATAGCTCAGACAGCACCAGTCCTGATATCGCTAATCTCTTTGCAAGCCAATTTTCTTCAATTTATAAATGTGCTAATAGTGACCCAGTTACCTTTGACTATCCTGAAAATTTATGTGAAACTAATAATTTATCCTTTATTTATCTCTCCGAATTAGATGTTTTAAAAAAAATTAAAAAGCTAGATACTACAAAAGGTGCTGGCCCCGACGGAATTCCTCCGCTATTTATAAAGCTGTGTGGTAAGGAATTATCCTTGCCATTGACTCTAATTTTTAATAAATCCCTAAGCGATGGAAGCTTTCCAGATGAATGGAAAATTGCAAGAATCATTCCACT